GGCATGAAGTCGGCCACGAAGTCTGCCAAAATTTGAGATTTGATGGCGGTTCGGGGTCGATATTCGATATCGTACCTGCTAATTTCCACGGCTCATTTGGCTAATCATTCTGAGAGCTCGGGTTTATGCATTATATTTCTCAATGGGTAAGTAGTTACGAGCAAAGCGAATGCCAATTTCTCCAAGTGAAGATACCTTGTTTCGGCCTCGGCTAGAGTCCTACTAACATAATAGATAGGAAATTACGTACCTTCCTCTTCCCGGACTAGGACTCCATTTACCACTATCTCGAATACAGCTAAGTACAGGTACAACTGCTCGTCTACCTTCGGAGTATGAAGCAAAGGTGGACTTGAAAGATACCGTTTGAGTTCGTCCAAACCTTGCTGGCACTCTGGGGTCCACGAAAAGTTATTCTTCTTCTTTAATAACGAGAAGAACCGATGGCTCTTATCAGAGGACCTTGATATGAACCGACCCAAGGCGGCTCTGCGCCCGATTAGCCTTTGAACGGACTTGACATTGTCCACCACAGTGATTTCCTCTATAGCTTTAATCTTGTCGGGATTGATATCGATCCCCCGGTTGGACGCCATAAATCCAAGGAACTTCTCGGACCCGACTCAAATGCGCATTTCTCCGGGTTCAGCTTCATATTATATTTCTTCAGTATGTTGAAGGTTTCCTGCAAATGTTCCAAATGGTCCTCTGCTCGCAGGGACTTAACTAACATCTCGTCAATGTAAACCTCCATTTATTTTCATATTTGCTCTTCGAACATCCGATTTACTAGGCGTTGATAAGTGACACCAGCATTTTTTAGTTCGAACGACATTATGTTATAACAATAGGTGTCGTATTTAGCGATGAAGGAAGTTTTTTCTTGATCACCCGAGTCCATCCGGATTTAGTTGTACCCAGAATAGGCATCAAGAAAACTTAGTGTCTCGTGGTCGGCCGCCGCATCGATCATGCGATCGATGTTAGACAAAGGAAAAGAGTCCTTAGGGCATACTTTGTTCAAGTCTTTGTAATCTACACACATTCTTAGTTTATTTCCCTTTTAGGCACTACCACTACGTTAGCTAACCAATCCGGGTACTTAACTTCCCAAATGGAGCGTATTTTAAGGAGTTTGTATTCCTCTTCTTTGATGAATGCGTGCTTGACTTCGGACTGAGGCCTCCTCTTCTGTTTAACCGAGTGGAACTTCGGATCCAAGCTCAGCTTGTGAATAGTTATTTCTGGCGGGATCCTTGTCATATCAAGATGGGACCAAGTGAAACAATCTATGTTAGCTATAAGGAATTTAATGAGTTTTTTCCTGAGATCGGGAGTTCGTCCTGTGCGCAGGTATACCTTCCGATCTGGCAAATGCTCGATCATTATGACATTCTCCAGCTCATCCATTGACTTGGTGGCATCAAAATCGTCAGGGGCTATGAACGACCTAGGGACTCCGTAATCATCATCCTCGCATGTCTCCTGCTTCTCTGGTTCGGTCGGTACCGGTGTCGGTGATTGCTATTTGTTTTCTTTTTTCGTAACCGAACTCGGGTTCTTTGATGTCGAGAATGCAGATATCGGGATCACCTCATCGATCGTGAATATTTCTTTTGCGGCCGGCTGTTCTCCGTAATCTGTCTTGATCCCTCCCGTTGTGGGGAATTTCAATGCCTGATGTAGTGTCGAGGGTACTGCCCTCATGTTGTGAATCCATGGCCTCCCGAACAAAGCGTTGTACCTCATATCCCCCTCGATGATGTAAAACTTCGTCTCCTGAATGGTTCCGGCGGTGTTCACCAGCAAGCTTATTTCCTTTTTAGTAGTTTTACACGCCATGTTGAATCCGTTTAAAACTCGGATGCAGGCACTATTTGGTCTTGTAAACCCAGCTGCTCCACGACCCTCGATCTAATGATATTGGGGATACCTAGGTCAATTAACACACGTTTAACTCGAGATTTACTTATAAGTTCGGATATCAATAGTGCATCATTATGTGGTTGCACGATGACTTCAGTGTCCTCGTCAATGAACGATACGGTTCCTTCCGGTATATAATACCGAGTCCATTTTTCCCTTGTAATGGACATCTTAGTGCGCTTTAGCTCGGCCCTTGGCGAACGTCGACCTTACCAATGATTATGTTAATGACGTGTTGAGGTTCCCTTTGCTCGGTCTCCTTGTTGGAGTCCCTATTCTTGAAGTGATTTTTTGCTCGATCACTTAGGGATTCTCGGAGGTGTCCATTATTGAATAACCAGGCTACTTCTTCTCTCAGTTTTCAGCAATCTTTGATTTTGTGGCCGTGAGTGCCATGATACTTACACATTAGGTTGTTGTCCCTTTGGGAAAGATCAGACTGCAATGGTTGAGGTCATTTGGTATCTTTGATGCGTCCAATGGCAGACACGATGCTAGCAGCATCGACACTGAAGTTATATTCCGATAATCTCGGTGGCCTGTCGAAATCGCTCTTACTCATAAGTCCACGACTATTGTGGCCTCGATTGTTCCTTTTTTCACTCATCGCAGGGTTGCGTCCGGACCCATTACCCCTTCAATCTCCGTTGTATGGTTGATACCTATCTCTGTTTGATCTTGGTTCATGATCGACGCCTCTTTTGGATTTGTCACTAGTTTTGACGGGATAAACGGATCCGGAAGGGGCCCAGAGCTGATCATCTTCGACCCTTATTTTTTATTGGTACCTGTTATGGATGTCAGCCCAAGTTATCGCCGAGTATTCTATCAAATTTTGTTTCAACTGCTATAAAGCCAAAGAGCTTTGGGGGTTAAGTACTTGGGTGAATGCCTGAACGGCCCAATCGTCCGCGACCGGAGGCAGATCCATCCGTTCCATTTGAAACCTCGACATAAATTCCTTGAGCATCTCGTTATCTCTTTGCTTTACTTTGAAAAGGTCTGACTTCCTAGTCTTGACCTTGATGGCCCCGGCTTGCGCCTTTACAAAGGCATCTGCAAGCATAGCAAACGAGTCAATAGAATTAGGGGGTAAGTTGTGATACCATATCATAGCTCCCTTTGAGAAGGTTTCTCCGAACTTTTTCAGCAGAACGGATTCGATTTCATCATCTTCCAAGTCGTTTCCCTTGATGGTGCGCGTGTAGGAGGTCACATGTTCATTTGGATAAATTATTCCATTATACTTCGGAATTTCGGGCATACGAAACTTCTTTGGGATCGGCTCCAGAGCTGCGCTCGGAGGTAAAGGTTTTTGGACAAATTTCTTGGAATCCAGGCCCTTCTATATCGGTGGTGCTCCTGGTATTTGATCACCCTGGAGTTATAGGTCTCCACTTTTTTGTCATTGGCTTCGATTTTCTTTTCTCCCGATTCCATCTGTTTTGTCAGTTCCTCGAGTATCTTTATTATCTCGTGGTTGGTCCCGGGTCCAGCTTCACTCAGCCTTTTTGTGGCTGGTTCATTCCTGCGAGTGTTTCCCTGGGATGGTTCGGGTTCAACTCTGCTGGGGGCGCGGCTTTGGTTCTACAACGGGGCTATTGCTACCTGTTGAGCCTGTAACATCTCAAAGATCACCCGCAAGTTGATCCCATCACCTTCACCGTCGCGTGTACTCCGGGCTATCGATCGGGCTCCCTCGCGAATGCTGTTTTCGGGGTCGGTAGGCAAGTTTGCTTCGATAGCCAGATGTGAGTCAGCATCGATCGGGTCCGCGACTGGAACTCTGTTGGGGTAAGAGGGGCACCTCGTTTTTGGTCACCACATTGTTGGTCTCTCCATGGTGGCCAAACTCAACATCAACGTTCAAATGGGCAGATTGGGAGTTTGACATTTTTGATTTGACCTGAAATTAGAAGCTCAAAGAACAAGTGTGAAATAGAGTGCGTTATGAAAATTTATATCAAATTGCCACTATTATCCTTAGCCCCACGGTGGGCGCCAAACTATTTACCCTAAAAAACGAATAACAGTTAAATTTATATGTGATTTTAAGGATATGCGGATTAATTCAATACAAATGATAAATGGCGCTAGATTAAACAGATAAAGGATGTAATAAATTGCCAAACCAATAATGAGAGTGATCCCGGACTTAGTAATGGCTCAATGAACTGCCTACCTTCGATCCCGGGCTCACAATAATGGAGGACTGACGAATAGAAATAAGAACTGACAAAAATAATAGTATATTGCCTTGATATACGTGTTATAACCTCCTTGATGAACAACTAGTTTCCCCTTTATATAACAGGGGAGTTTAACCCTAAGTATAATTCTAAAAAAGGATAAAAATCTTTCTTCATATTAATCACTGATTCATTGCTGATACGGGCCGAGATTTATGCCGTGATATCTGGTTGGGCACGGATATTACGGCCCTTCGTTAGTCGTGTGCAGCCGTTTGATAATGTTCTTCGAAGTCTTGAGGCTCGAACCGGTCCCGGAGGACGTGGTTCCGATGCCCCCGGGGCAGGTGTCTTGCTCGATCCCCGATACGAAAGGCTCCCCGCCCAGATTCCGATTCCTTACGATCACGTTCCTGTTCCGTTTGTCTCACCGGAAAACCGAGATGTTCAACGGGCTCAATTTTAACCGTATACAAATCCATACTATTAAAACAAAGATACACAATGCCCATGAACTTACACATGCACCAATGAAAACATCTACTGTTATCACCGAAACTAGTACGACTTAATTTGTCTTTCTTGAAATAGAAAACATCGATTATCGATAACATTAAAGTTCCTACAATTTTTTTAATCATACTATAGAATATAAAAAATTCTATAAAAATCTGCTTTCTTTTCTATTTGTATGATAGTAATCTAAACCTGATACCATGCAATTGAAATCATAGTAATATGGAACCAGCCCTTAATTCCTTGAGCCGAGGGTATATTAGAAACAAACTCTGTACCTTCACAAGGTAGGGGTAAGGTCTACGTACACACTATCCTCCGCAGACCTCACGTGTGAGATTACGCTGAGTTTGTCGTCGTTTTATTGTTATGGAACCAGCCCAAGAAATCAGTTGGTTTTCCGCTGGCATTGTATTGAATCAAGAAGATGAAGAAGACTACACAAGTAAGAAATTACTTCGTTCTGATTCAGATTTTGTTACATTTGATGATTGGGATTTCGACGTTGAAAACGAAACAAAAACTGCTCTTTATGTCACACCAGAGAGTTTAACACATAACAAGAAGTCAAGAACTTCATTGATTTCTTCACTAAACATATTGAAAGACTTTGGAAATGGATTCAAAAAATTAAAGGGGCAAAAAATCACCATACAAACTAGTGAAATTAAATGTGCAAATAATGGTAAATTGTCCACAGATTCAATTCTTCGTTTAGGCGGACAAAATTTTATTCAATCTTTTGAATCTTCAGTTTCTTCAGTTGATCATCCATTTGTTAGTTCCTTATTAAGTCTTTCAGAGGAAGATTCTAGAAGTGTTGAACTCGTCGAATGCCTTTTATCTTGCGCGGAGAAAGTGGGGCAAAAGCAATATGATCGCGCGACTAAGCTTTTAAATGAATGTGACAAGTTAAGTTCTAAAACAGGAAATCCTGTTCAAAGACTTGTTTACTATTTTTCTCGTGCTCTACGTGAACGAGTTGATAAGGAAATCGGGGAAAATAACACGAAAGGTTTGGAGATATATGGAATGGGAGATCTTCAGGAGGCGTTAAGGAGTATAAACCAGTGTACGATTGCAGTTCAGGACATGCCTATATGTCAAGTGATAAAATTTGCTGGAATTCAAGCGATAGTAGAAAATGTAAGAAACTACAAAAAGATTCATATAATTGATCTTGAAATTAAAATGGGAGTACAATGGACAATCTTGATACAAGCACTTGTAACTCATCAACAAGAATCTCAATCTCCTTTTGAATATCTCAAAATAACTGCTTTAGGATATACTCAATCAAGGACTAAACTCGAGGAGACAGGTAAACGACTGATGAGTTTTGCTGAGTCTTTAAACTTACTATTTTATTTCAAGAGTGTTATAATAGAAGATATCTCGGATCTCAAGAAAGAAGATTTTGATATAGATCCTGAGGAAACGATTGCAGTTTACGCGCAACATTTTCTGTCTAACATGATAATGCAACAAGAAAAGCTCGAGTTCTTGATGGGATTTATTAAAGGTATAAATCCGCGTATAATGGTCATTGCTGAAGTTGAGGCAAATCATAATTCTCCAGTTTTTGTTGACCGTTTTATTGAAGCATTATTCTACCACGGTGCTTTCTTCGATTTATTTGAAGATTGTATGAAAAACAATGAATCAAACAGAACGACTATGGAATCAGAGTTTATGTGGCAAGGAATAAGGAATATTGTAGCAGCTGAGGGAGAGGAAAGGACTATTAGACATGTAACAATTGAATTATGGAGAGAGTATTTTAAGCGATTTGGAATGGAGGAAATGAAACTGAGCAATTCGTCGTTGTATCAAGCGAAAATGGTACTTGAAAAATTCAGTAATGGGAATTCTTTTACGCTTGAAATGAATGGAAATTTTCTAGTGATTGGGTGGAAGGAAACTCCTCTGAGTTCACTTTCTGCTTGGAAATTTCGCAAAAGAAATACTTCTCATGGAGCTTACTTCTTCACTCTTTAATATTAAAGGCATCCCGGGTATTCTGCATTCACGCAGGGTTCGTAGAAGGGTCGTATTTCAAGGAGTGTTTATGGACAGCATACTCTAATGCAAGCATTAATGGCTGTTTTCATGACTCGAACTCGTGACCTATAGTTAATCTACTACTTATTATGTTGTTGAATCAGATGTTTTGTTCAACTCCTTTATTTTCTTTTAACAGCTAAAAAATCACTGCTTGTAATAGCTCCTATTCCAAGAGGAGCCTTGATGTAATTGGTAAAGTTACTGCCATGTGATCAGGAGGTCACGGGTTCGAGTCGTGGAAACAACCTCTTCCAGAAATGCAGGGCAAGGCTGCGTACGATAGATGCTTATGATCCGGCCATTCCTCGAACTTTGTGCGTAGCGGGAACTTAGTGCACCGAGCTGCCCTTTTTGTAATAGTAGCTATAATATGTATATCAGCGTCCAAGTTCGATTCTTGTCTACTACTTATAAGCTTGTACCTCAGTATATATAAGTCATATATGGTGTTTCAAGTTCTTAGTAGACAGAGATTTAGAACTTTAACCATTTAACTTTTGGAAACATTGTGGTTATATTACAACAAGAATTACAATTCAGTAAAATCCGATCAGTGTGGTCTGGTGAGGGTAGAGTGTACGCAGACCTTATCCCTACCCGGAGGGGTGGAGAAACCATTTTCCGGAGACCCTCGACAAACATTGTGGTTTTGTTATTGTTTCTAATTGAATAACCCTGTTTGACACCATTTAATGTGATAATTATGCCAGATTATATATGCTTGTATTTGCAGCAAGTAAAAGTAATTTTACTTTATTAGTATGAGCCGTGAAAACAGCCTCTTTCATGTTTAAGTGATTGTAATTCTGAGCTTCAAACTGCAGAAAAGAGATAATATATAGTTCTTCGCTAAACTGTCCAATTTAAAGCGATGGTTTAGTGACAGAGACATGAGTGAGGATTATTTTCGAATATTATAAAACATTGTGTGAACCTATTTATTTAAATTTTAGTGGACAAAATTAATTTGAAAATATGTGGTTTGTGGTGGGTAGATTGTAAAGATCGATACCCGCCAGTTGTGTAACACCACCAATAATTTTTTTTAATATTGACGATGTAAAATATATTTATAAAATTAAGTCATTCAAAAATAATTACAACTAACTCTTTTAAATAGCATTAATTGATAAAAAAATAATTAATAATAAATAACCAGCTACAACTAGTTAAATTAGATTAATTAGACTTGCAGTCGTTCTAGCATGAAAGCAGCACATTTGATCTCAATCGTTCATCTCATGACAAGTGATTTAATCTGCACCTTTGATTTTTCCTTGTGTATATGAAATACAGAAATCTAGATAGTAGTTAGGATTACACAAATAAGAATAGTACACCTGTACATTGGCATAACAGTTTTTGATTCTTTTCGTTTCTTTCATTCTTGTATAAATACATGTAAAGCTTATCAATGAAATACAGAGAGAAAATTTCTACACTGCCTTCTTCATATTTTTCTTTCAAGATCCTCGTTATATCAATATTTTTTAAATTAAAAAAAAAAAATTCCCATATTTACTTTTAGACTTTAGTGTTGCTAATCTCAAAGTAAAAATTACTGCACTAGTATAATATTCGTATAATTTGACCAGCTGCAGTCGCTTGTACCCAACCTCTTCTTTATGTTACCAATTAATAATTTTGTACAACTATATTTGCAGTAGACTTTTAAGTGAACGATCTGAGTAATTACTTTTTAGGTTATTAAGGTTTAAATTGAAGAAAAATAAGAAAACCCAAGGACGAAAAAAAGAAAAGAAAAGGAAGAAATTATAAAATTTATAGTACAGACTATCTTTTTGGTTTCTCCATTCAGTGCCCGACATCTAATTAGTTTCGATTAACTCGAATCCTCACCATGTAATTCAATCTCCGATATTCTAAGTTGTTCCGACACGACAGTTTAGGTGTCGCATTCGTGTTGACATAATACTAGTATAGATATGGGTATGCGATCCGTACTGGATTTGGTCAAATAATTTTGGGTACTTTGATTACGGCGGACAGAAAAATTCGAGACGAAATACAATTTGATTCCCGAAATCAGAACCAAAACTAAGGTAAATTTGAAGAAAATAGCATACCTTATCTAGGAAATCAATCATTTACTTATCTACAACTTGAGAATAAAAAAGAAATCCACACTTTACAAGCTATATGTAAGTTCGGTAAAATTTCTCATAATTTAGAGATATTTTTGTATTATTTTTAACCGGATACCTACACCCGTATCCGTACTTGAATCTGTATACCCGAATATTAGAATTTACATTTCGAAGTATCGACCTCTATATCAGTATCCGTGTCGTACATCCACGCTCGTGTCCGAACAACTTAGCCGATATAATTTTTTCCTTAAAAACTTATATGACGTGGACTAGTAACTGAATAAGAGTGTTACACGTGTGAATAAAGAGATACCTCATAATAAATTCATGATCGATAATATTGTTACACTTGTATAAGAGTATCACAATAAATTTCTGACAATAGCTCTACCAACATCAGAAAGTTGATGAACTGCTATATTTAATGCAGAAATTGGTGATTTACTACCATTAAAATACTCTTCACATTCTTGTGCATCTCCAGATGAACCTATCATTCCATCTTCAGCAAATTTTGGATCCCCTTTTGTTAAAGCTTCAACTGCTTCAGGCAAACTTGCTGTTAAAATTACCTGTTGAAATTTCAACTTATTTTAATTGATTATAGTCTAAAAAGAATTAGTAGCTTAATCTAATTTGTAAATAAAAATATAAGAGATAAATAATTAAAGAAATTATATTGATTAAGCGTATAATGAATAAGATTCATTAACTATTGAATAAATATTCTCTATAAATAGAGAACAATCTCCGCTTTTCTAATTATTATAGGAATTAACCGTAACGTTTCATGTTTCCTCGAGTACATAGTACATAGTTTTAAACGACAATTTGCTACGACTACTAAATAATTGAGCTAAAAGCAATTCCTCCCATTTTGTTTGACACTATTTTCTTATGGGAAAAAGGCTAGAATTGTTCCTATACTATCGAAAATTAGTCACGTTTATATTCGTTTCTACTTTCGATCCAAATATACGCCTACCGTTAGTAAAGTATGCAAAATCATCCCATTTTACTAAGGTAAGGCTTATATTTGGACAGAAAGTGAAAACGGGTATAAACGTGACTAATTTTCGATAGTATAGGGATAATTTTGGCCATTTTCCCATTTTCTTATTAATCCGTTCTGAAAAGAATAGTATCAGTGGCTTAGCCACATAGTATGAAGAGTGTTCAGTTGAACAACCTTCATCGGAAAATTATACTATGCTATATAGAAAATCAAATTGTGTATATATACAAAAATTATTTTTTATACATATATATTTAACTTTAAACAACCTTCGCAAAAGTGCTGACTTCGCAACTAAATAGTACAATTCCAAATTTCTTTACGAAAAGTTTTTATCATCACACATACGTTATGATATGTTTAAGACCATAAGTTTCATAACCGATTTCTCTTATTAGATAAGTATATATAGATAATTAGCAAAATAAAAATACTGAGCATAAATATAAAAAATGACAATACTTATTATTATAGTGATTTATTTATTTGTTTATTCGTACCATTGTTTGTGTCAAGTTAAATTATGACGAACAAAGTAAAACGAAAGGTGTAAATAAATTTCTTAAATTACCTTATATGAAAAGGCACAGTTTTTCAAAGGATCTTTCCAAGCTGCCGGAGGATTAGAATGCCGGAGTTTCGATATTGTCACTGCAGCTTGATTAGCCTTAGATTTTATAGCATCGACCATAATTAGTGCTAACGTTGTAATATCCCCTGTTTCACTCCGTTTGTCCGAAAGCAGAGTTTTCAGACAAAGTTGGTAATTTGGTGTGTTCTTGCATGTAGTTTCTACTAGATTATTGGCATTTGTTTGTAGTAATATGGTTAGAAACATCATTAGGAAAATCAAATTCTTCATTTTTGAAGTTGGAAAAGAAAAGAGAGAGAGAGAAGCAAAGTTAGATTTTGCTATTGGAGAAATTTGAGGTTGGAGTGTGTTTTATAGAGGTGTTTTGGTTTTTATATAGATCCATTCTATTACGTGCAGAGACAGACCTATGTGTAATCATAAAGGGTCACCGGATTCGTAAATTTCGACAGAAATTTTGTGCAATCAAACCTATCTATAACAGTTATATTTTATAATAGCATTTTACTATAACGGTCAAGTTTTTTTTTGAACTATATAATAGGAGAGGTAGAGATAGACCAAAGAAGAATTGGGAGAAGTGATTAGGTAAGATATGACATTGCTCCGGCCCAATGAGGACATGATCATGGATAGAAAAGTGTGGAGGTTGAGAATTAAGGTAAAGGGTTAGGATAGGTCGCCTAGCCTTATCTGTGACAGTAGCTTTAGTACCGAGTCCATGTTATTTATATATTTTCGTATTCGCTTGACTACTGTAATTACTTGTTGTTGCTTTGGTTGCAGTACTCAGTTTATTTGTGCTTCGGTTTCTATTTGGTATGATTGCTGCTACTCTTCCTTTTATCTTTCTTAAGCCGAGGCTCTTACGAAAATAACATCTCTGCCTTCTTAAAAGTAGGGGTAAGGTCTGCATACATACTACCCACCTCAAACCCATTACACTGGGTATGTTGTTGTTGTTGGTCAAGTTTTCTTTTAAATCATATTTTCATGTTATATTATAATATATGTTCTCCGTAACAGCACTTCACTATAGCAGCCGAAAATATCGGAACAAACGAAGTAGTTATAAAGAGGCTTGACTGTATATGTACATGTGTATACCTTTAAAATGGTCAGTTTAAATTACTTAACACCCTATACACTAAAAGCCTTTAAAAAAACTGATTGAACAGAATACTAATGTCTTCGTCGCATTAATTAAAATTCTGAATCTGCCGCTAATTGTGTGCCTATCTCTTTCTCCTTTTCGGTGGGCTTGTGGGGAGAGAGAGTTTCTAAAGAAGACACGCTGCTTCTGAATATCTTTAGATCATTAAATCAGACTCTATATGATAAGACTTGGAACTACCAAAGTGTACACAAACCAAAAAGCATCACTGGCCCTTCTATTTGAAAAGGTGTGGATCCAATAATTTTAAGTTAGTGGAGTGTAGAATGTTATTCCCTTCTATCCATATTTAATATACGACAATATATTTTTTATTTTGAGTGTCGAGGTTGACGTGCTTTCAGCCTAATAGCTTCGGGCGCAACTTGCGTTTAAAAATTTAATGGTTTACGTGATTATATAATTCACACAAAATATCGTATTTCACTACGTATTCCACTTATGCAAGAGCCAAGATATCCATTGTCGAGAGTTATTATGCATACGATAATATTTAACTAGACATTAGGTTTTTAAGAAATAAAAGAAAGATTCTTGAAACATATTAAAAATATTAAATTTAATACTTTTAAAGTTATAAGAACATATTATTAAGGCAAAAATCATATAATATAGAACATAGAAATAGAGATAACGCATTATTCCTTTCGTTATCGTGATTGCGAAAGTGGGATGCATCATTTTATTGCCTTTTTCTTATCTCTTCTTTTTGGGTTGATTTCCTGGAAGCTCTCAATTATTGGCTCCAGGGGCATATATAGCATTAGAGTGACGAGTTTAATTGAACCCATAATTTTTTATGCGAAGCATAAATTTGTAAAAATCGATTAAAATTACAATAATAGTAGATATGAACGTATAATTTTAAATATATAATGGATTCAATGTTAAAAATCGTAAAAGTTGAACCTATAGAGTTTAAATTCTGAATCCAACACTGATCGGCTCTTCTTGTTTGATTAAAATGATATTATTAGATCATGGAGTGATGCAATACGTCTAGTGGTCGATAAAATTGCGCAATATTATTGGCGATGCATTTCTTTCTTTGAATGCTTGCGTATTATCCTTCACTATCTGTTTTCTAAAGATGGCAATGCAAAAAAAAAAAAAACAAAAAAAAAAAGAAGAAACAATTCAGAGATAATAACATTTTTTTGCTAATCCGTCGTTAAATACGATTAGCCAATTTTTTTTATTGGTTAGAAAATGTAGCTCGGTGCACAAAGTATCATGTATTCACGCAGGTCCAGGGAAGGGTCGCGCCTTAAGAGGTATAATGTAGATAGCCTATACTAATGCAAGTATTAGCGGCTACTTCTACTGCTTTGAACCCGTGACCTATAGGTCATACGGAAACAATTTTACCGTTGCTCCAAAATTAGTTAGATTTTTGTTGTTTGACGACAAAGTTTGTTCACCGCAAATTTCTGTTTTTTGTAGATTGTTCGTCAAATTTTGTTCAATCGTACTAGGTAAATTTCTCATGTAACTAATCATATATGATTGCTACTGTTATATATTATTCTTTTTTTTTTAAAAAAAAATTCTTGTATTTGTAACATGCTAGATCTTTAACATGAAATATATATACAACGTAAGACGGCCAATTAAAAACTTTTGAAACCACGACATGGCAAAATATTGAGATCTATTACCATTCCAGGTGAAACAACTACATGTCATTTGTCTTTATTTATTAACCACATAGCGGAGACACCTAGGATGTGTTTGGTACGAAGGAATGTTCTCCAATTTTTTCCAAGTTTGGCTGACTTAAATATTTTGGAAAATATTTCCCTTATGAATTCATTTTCCTCCAATTGGAGGAAAATATTTTCCTTATCAAAAGAAGGGAAAACATTTTCTAAAACTCTTTCTCAACCTTCCACACCCTATTCCCCACCCTCACCAACCCAGCCCACACCCCCACACCCAGCCCACAATCCCACCCCACGCCTACCTCACCCCACCCCCTCTCCCAAAATGGCCATTTTTTCGTTTTTTTTTTTGTTAATTTTAAATTTCTATTTTTTCGTTTTTCTGCACCACCCACCGCCCACCCCGCCAAATCCCGCCCCACTGCCCCCCTCTCCCCCCCACCCACCCAGTGGCCTACGCAGAATTTTTTATAAGCGGTGTCACGATTTTAAAGAGTGAACAAATAATAATTCACTATAATAACATGATAGAATTTATGGGTCCATCAACTTCTATAGAGAACCAGGTTCTCTATCAGGTTTGACAGTTACACACACACACAGAACATAAGTTAAATGACAGGAGGAATTTTACGTGGAAAATTTCCAGCTCAACGGGATTAAAAACCACGACCTACCCTTGTAGGATTCGACTTCATTAGTGAGCAACTTTTAGATTACAACCTATGCAACCTAGGAATTAAACTCTTAATCCCTCACTAACTTGTAATACACCTATTACAAGCCACTTTGCAATGACTTATTACAAAGACTTTGAAACTTGACTAGCTCTAGCCAAGACTTAAACACGCAGGTTTAAGGTTTACAAAGATGTTCCTATAAAGTGCTTCTAAATAAGCTGGATAGGAATTACAATTTGAAGAGCTGTTACAAAGTTACAACTCAACTAAGGACACACAATAACTCGATGTGGGAACTGGTCCGTAGTTGCTTTGTTCTTTGTTCTTGAGGCACTTGAAACTTGCTCGCTGAGTGGTCACGTGTGTGAGCTTGTGTAAGATTTCTAAGTTTTCAAGTGAGTTGTTTTACCTCCCTTGAATGCATATATACATGTGTGACCTCACCAAGAATGATGCAATCAAGGTAGGTAAGAAGTCTTCTCTGGAAAGTTGACTACAACACTGTTCTGCACAGTGGCGTGTGCAGGCAACAACTTTCTAGCTGCAGAGTTGACTTCGTACAGTCTCCTCGGGAACTGGTAGGGACCTGGTCCCTCAGCTGTTCCTTCCACTCTGAGGAGTTGAATCATATTCCATGTTGAGTCACAACCTGGAGTCTTGTGAACTTGAGGTCTTGTGAATGTGTAACAGGTTCTTTATCTGGTTCTGGGTAGTAAGTTTGTTAGATCATCAAAACATAATGTAAAGTACTTATAATCGAAGTACATGTAACCTATCAATTTTCCCCTTTTTGATGATGACAAACTCATAATTGAAAATCCTAAAAAGAGCCACAAAAGAACCATTGTGAACCAGAAGGGGCTTAAGTTTCCCCTGAAACTATGCATTCACCCTTTGTCAGTAACTGAACTTTTGGTTATTCAATTAAGTTCTTCTCTTCCCCCTTTTGGCATCATAAAAAGGACAGAACATGTTAGCAGCATAAAAAATTCTAGCATAGTTAACTCATGCCACTTATGTGCTCACAACATGATAGGAGACAGAAGTAAAAGAGCAGCAGCATAGATAGCAAAAGGGAAACTACTTCCATTAACCAGAATCAGACTATTACAGGCGGGAGTAGAGACATTGTTTTAGATCCACAGTCTAAAACAAACAAAAACAAATACCTAAAAAAAAAAAAAACATCACCAACAACAACTGAAAAAGATAGACACTGGAAACTAGACACTAAGGGGATATTCTTTAAGGACACTAGAGGAATAGGGCTTGGAAGAGGAAACAAGAGTTTGGAGGACAAGATCCATGTGAGCATTCGCGGACAGTTGCTCATTAAGCAGTCTATCTTTCAGGTCCTCCACCTGTTTCCTTAGTTCGACATTCTCCTTTGTTAGGCGTGCGACCTCTGCGCTGTGAGAACCGCTGGAACCAGGTACCTCTTGCAACTGACTGAGCTGATTCTCAAGAATCGCGTTCCTAGCCTTCAACTTTCGGATCTCCTCTGTGGCACTATTCTGAGCATTTATCAGCTGAGAGATTGGGGAAGTGCTTCCAACTCCTCTGACTTTGTCAATACACTCACACTCATCCAGAGTATTTTTTGAAATAGATTGCTTTTTGGTGCCCACCTTGGCCTGACCCAGAGGTACTTTGAAAAACTCAAAGACTTTTGTGAGAAAGAACTAATAAGGCAGTCCAGGATTCCCGTCTTTGAGGTTCTCTACCTTCTGCATATGCTCAACCATTATGGCAGACAAATTGATGGAGGAGAAATCGTCCAAAGTCTCCATAAGGAATAGGTCAGCTTTGGCTGCATCAGACCTTCTTTAAGCGCGGGGAAGCAAAACTTTGTTGACCAT